AAAAAAATTGGCCCACTTACGTATACCTATAAAAACAACCCTAAAAAAAACATATATTTCCGTATAAAATGATTGCGTATATTATTTTGAGAATTTGAACACTTAATATTATTTTTAAAAATTGGTTAGTTCAAAGAAATGTTTATTTTTTCATTTTTATTTAAAATATATATGTTTAGACTCCAGAATACACATTAATACATATTAAGCATTTTGAAGCCCATGAGAGAAACAACTTTATTCAAAGTGAACTGCCCGTCTACCGGGTTGCTTATATGACACAGAGTAAAAATCAGACATAATTGTTACAATGGAATGGATAAGAATAGTATATAAATGAGATTAATAAATTAAAAAAAAAAGTAAAACATACAATAAAATATGGAGTGTTAATAGAATATAAATTGAAAATCATTGCACTTTGAACGCGGTGAATAAGATTATTAGTAAAATAAAGGTTTTACAATATTGATATAAATAATATTAAGTGTATAAATGCTTATGGATAATATTAAGTGTGTCTCTCATGTGCTAAGTACATTTCTTTTAGTTCTCTTAAATCTAATGCATTGTTTTTAAAGAAGTCTCTAAGCAAAGGGGACGCAGTTCCACGTGCCTCGACCCATAGACCATGAACTTCCCAATTATTTATTTGTTATTATTCTTTGAAGAAAGGGACAGTTGGCTCGTAGATGGATTTCTTCTCTTCGTCCACTAATTTGTCTTGATTATCCTCGTTTGTTTCCCATCGCGCAGTGTAGGGTCCAGAATTATTCCTTTTCCTTTTGTTCGGTCAAGGATGACTATATCCGCTCTCCTATTATGATGGCTGTTATCGTCGGAGTGTGCCAAGCAATGTACTTCTTCGGGCACCTCAAATACTTTTTTCCGAAATAGATTAGCTAGCTGGCTGCGAATTTTATGGTGTGCAGAATTCCTGAGCAGCTCAGATCTCGGACAAGAGCCTAGGACGTGGGAAAGCGTTTCAATTATGTTCTTCTCACCGCAAGGAGGATTCCTGCAGTGGCGGTTTCCCTGACTCCGACCTCCCGTTAAAATAATGTCTTGCTTCACTTAAAAAATAATATGTCATCTATGCACCACATTGCGAAAAATAGGTACCTACAGGCTACAATTATTTTTGTTAAATCGTATTTTATAACGCCATTATGATGAATGAGACGATTTCTAAAAAAACAATTGATCATTTTTTCCCAAGTAGGAAATATTGATAATGAGTAACGACTATAGGTTGATTAAACCGTAGGTACTTAATATGTTCGCATTTAAGTGGATGGTCAATCATTTTTTTTTTGTTTACATATACATAAATATCAATCTATTTTTACATGAGCAGCAGACAGAAGTATAATATACTCTGTAATTACGGTAATAGACAATAATAGTCCTTTGAACCGTTCAATAAATCAAATTTAATATTTTAATCCTTAAAATAATATAAATTTGACGCAAATCGGTATCGTATGACGTGTTCCTAACTTGAAGTGAGTAACTTCCAATATCGGTTATAGATTTGATTGGTTAAATAAATGTAAACTATAAAATTATATTTATAATATGTAAATAAAAGTAGTTATTTAAGTATTTGTAAATCACGAAGTTCGATAATTTTATTATTGTAAGAACATTATTAGAAAAAATTCATTTTCGTTTTATGCATTAACTCTTTGGCAGTTAACATAAAAGGTCACATGTGTTTATTTATTGCATTTTAGGAATTGATGATGATTTAGGTAAGACACGAAAATAGTGAAATGAGTTTTATTAAAGATTAAATTATAATTTATTCGACCATTAATCTCAATGTCACTGACCTACAATTATTGTTTTCAGCATTTGGCATTTGCTAGTCATAATATTATTTATAAATTAAACAAATTTTGAAATGCAGCAAATGTTCAAAGGGTAGTTCGGTTGCGGTATGGTTATGTGTGTTACAGTTTAAACGTCAGATTATCCCATTTATAATACTATTAAGAGTGATATGTGGTTCAGTGGTTGGTTAGTTAGTTTAGATTATGTTGAAACCATTAAAAATAATTATATACTAATTTATAAAACTATTTCATATCGTTTCTCCTCCAAGTCCCCCTCAAAATATGTCAAGATGTAAATGTCTTTACGTTTACATGCACACTAATTAATTTTGAGACGACGCTAAAAAACCAATTGTTTCTGTAGAGTGCAGACATCCTAATTCTCAACAGGTTCATTAAATAGGTAATACATATTTAGGAAGCTTGTTGGGGAAATACCGTTAAAATATCCAGTTTGTTTGCCAAATTTTTACTTTGATTTTATTAGTCGATGTTTCATGTTTGTAAACATTTTTTTCATCAGATGTCTATACTGTGTCGATCTCTGTTAAGCTTAAAAGACTAGCACTAGCCACTTATATACGATTTTGCACTATATAGCATATAGGCTAAGTTTACCATAAATCATATATAATGTATGACTATAGGAGTCAATATTTAATTTATGTACACTTATTTCATTCAGCCAATTTCTGAGCATAATTAATTACATAGATTACACTCATAAAACCAATGCATAATACAATATCATCTAATTATTAAATCTATATTATGATTTATGATTAATACTTGTATATATTTATTCATTAATTTTCGAATAGCCAATAGGTTAGTACAACACCTGTATGACTGTATAAGTATAAAGATTAAAGTTCCTTCCTAAAATTGCAGCAATATTGAGACTATACAGTACCTACTATGGTATATAGTGGCGCCGAACACGTACTAAGGTGGTGCATTTGCACGGCCTACAATTGGTGGGTGGGTACTGGCCACTGGGTGTCTGCAGGGTCCATTGACTTAATATCATACATAATCGAAATGGCGTCAAAATTTGAATTTAATATACATAAAAATATGCATAAAGCAACATTCCTTGTTATAGATTTTAATATTCTATGAAATGTATTCGAAATAGCTCGGTGGGTGCCTCGGTAACCTGGTAAACTACACAAATCTTGTAGACGTAACTATAGTTTAATTGTAATTGCAGGTTTCTCAATTAGTTTTATCATCGATTATAAATACTAGGTATGGATCGCTATCACTGGCCCGTATTTACGCGACCCGAAATATTGACGAAAAATGGATGTGGCCGTTATGAAGCGCTGTCATCGCCCATTAGTTTCGTATGGACGACGTATTAATAATCAATGGTTTCATGTTTCTAAACAGGGACGGAGTGGATGAAATATTATTTCCCCAGGGGTGGTAAAAATAATCCACCTACCTATTAAAGTATATTATTTTTGACGATTTTTTTAGCACATCTATTTAGAACACCTTGGTAGATCGTCGTAGTGGACCAACATTATCAAAACTCTGCTCAACTAAACTTTAACTTTAAATACTTCTAAGTTCTAACTAGGGCAACCTGATTTTAATTTAAAATGCAAAATTTTTTGGGAAGTATCCGGTAATTATTTTCAAGTACAAAATCCGTTTCATACATCATATAATTGAAAACATAAACTTTTGTAATTTATAAAACATTTCCATCGTAAAACTCAAAATCCCTGTTTGAGCACCTCTCCCTGGGTTTTAATTATCCTATGTTACTCAAAGATAATGTGGGTTTTCTATTGGTAAAATAATTTTCAAAATCAGTTCAGAAGATTCAGAGATTACCCCCTACAACCTCACAAACTTACTTCTTTATAATAATAGTATATATACTTGCCCCCCAGAAATGTTTGTAGGAGACAAAAGTATCATTTTGCTTCCCCCCCACACAATAATCCATACTTAAAAAGTATTCTTAACAAGACTGTTAACATAATATAATAATATTAAAATATTTTTTTCTTCAAATTACTTTATAAAAGTTTATAATTATTATAGGTTTCTCTTGTTGAATAATATTATATTCTTGAAATCGCGATTATGACTACAGGAACGGCCGAACAGGAGGTTAATTTTATTGCTCCCCCCTAGATTTTTATCCAGTTACACCACTGTATATATATATATATCATTATGTTTAAACTTTTTGCGAAGTTAACTAATTGTTAACTAATATTAATTTTAATAATACTCTTATTTTGTAGTTTTAGATATTTGTCATTACTCATTAACAATAATTACATAGGTATTTATGATTTCGGCGTAATGTGGCATAATGATAATAGTGTTCTTTAAAAAAGTGGTCTACAATAGGTAATGACATTGTGGAAGTTATTTAATTGCAACTACACAATTACATAAGGAAATAAAAAAAACATGTTAATATTATTTTAAAGTCTGGCACTATATTTTTTGAATTTTATTTAATAATTAATAACATATAACCATTTTATCATTAAAATTAAACATAATAAAAATATATATTTTAAAGCTCAATAAAATTACTATAACAAATAACTTGAACAACATTACCGAATATATTACAAGTGTTGTTACTTGTTGGTGTCATAATAACCAAATGAAAGATCTATGAGCAATAATAATTTAGTTTTAAATCAATAATATTCTAAAAAATAATAAAAACATATAATAAAAATAATAATAAGGAACTATAATAATGTTTGTGTATATAATATTTTTAAAACACTTTTACTTGATATATTGTTTCCCATGAAATACATTAACATTTGTCAGTTATACTAAATTACAAATTGTAATGGTTCAAATCTAAATTGGAATTCACTAAAGCAGTTCTAATTCAACTACAATTTTTAGTTCTAATGTATACAATATATAATTTTTTAAAAAAATGGAATATATATTATACTAACAAATATATATCATATTATACTTTGGTTTAGTAATATTCTATTCAATGTAACGAGTATTGTATGAATAATTAAATTAAATTATTTATATTATATTATTATAATATAAAAACATACTATAAGTGCAATTCAGTTCATCTATTAGCTCCTTAATTTAATATTACTTATAGAAAGTTGTCATGTATGAACATTCACAGATGTACACATTTTCTTAAGGTTCTCCTCCAATAATAGGTTCATCTGTAGGATAGTGTACGACAGTTCTCAATCTTCTGGGCACAGCTTTCAATAAGTTATTGTAAATACACATGCCGATAAGCAACAGCAGGAAACCAACAGGCTGTAAAGATATAATTTAATATAAATAAACATTTATCTGTTTTATTTAAATTTTTTATCAAAGTTGGTTAAAATAACAAAATATTACCTGAAGTGGATTGAATGTTTGCCAGCCAACTGCCAATGAAAAAGTCCAAATGAAGAATGTTCGAACGGAATCCAATACCATCCTAGTAGTTGCAGATATTTCCTTGGCAACACTTATACCAGAAAAGTTGAAATAAGCAATGCTTATTATGTTTCCTGGAGGTAAAAACACATTACAGTAATGATACAAATATCGTCGTTGGGCGAGTAACATGTCGTATCTCAAGAAAAATCGATTTTGCGATTTATACATAAAAAAAAGCGGGAAAAAATAACATATGATTTGATAATTATATTAATATTAATAATAATAATTTCCAAGGAGATTGAAGACTTAATTGTAATTTTGACGTAACTTGATTACATGTTATCAGTGTTCACGTTTTTGTCTCTCCTGAACATTTTACTTTTTTGAGATACGACATGTTACTCGCCCAACGACGATATCACATTTAATTAGTATATTAGTCATTAACATTTACCAATTAATGCAACCAGAATCCATTTGTTGTTCATTATTTGAGTAATAGCTTCTGGAAAATCTTCAATGACTCCACGAGAGTTATTAGTGGCAAGTGGAGGACCAACATTGATATAATAAAATGGTACTAAAAGCGAACCCATCATCAGGAATCCAAATAGACCTTTAAAAAAAAGAATATACATATGAATATATCATACTTCAATCATAATTTATTGCAATAAAACTAAGCAGAAGATGTAGCAGGGGTGGACTAATCCACCATGTTCCACCGAGTTTTAGGATTTTAACCAGTAGTAAAAATGTTAACAGCCCATTTTTCAATAAGACATAATATTTATTATTATTCCTATTTCATTGTTCAAAGTCTGAGGTGTTCAAATATTTTTGGTCATATATTACTAAGCAGGCAAAAATTTTACCCGGCCCACTCACTTCAACTTGGTAACGCGCCGGACCTGGTCACGTGACATAATACTGAGGTATTGGCGATTATGTCTAAATAAAGAGCCAGAAGTACAAGGAACTCCCATAAAATTTTTGAAGGATCCCAGATTGATATTTCACATAAAAGCATACATTTCCCATAAAATGATTTATTTTAGGTTTTAACTTTCAATAAATTATAATTTGTTACTATGGGTCTCAGTTTACCTCTGCAGTGGTTACAAAGCCCAGGACCGTTAGAAAATAGATGCTTTTGAAAATGTAGTTTTCATGTTTATAACATGAACTTAAGATCTATTAAGCACAGCTCAATAATTTAATATTTATCTGCTTGAGCATATGTTTGTTATGTACATAAAATATGAAAGAAATAGTTAAGGATAACCATTAATAATGTATTAAAAGTTAAAAAAAGGCATCATTCTATCATGTGATTATATTATAAAATATTAATACCTTCCCAACCAACAGCTTGTAATGGTGGAATATCATTTGAAACAACATATTTCTCTTCGTAAACCATTTGAGCAGCTGTTATTATCTGAGCAAATAAGATCAATGAGTCACCTAAAAAATAATAATAAATATGTACTTTGATAATAACATGTCCTATTTCTCAAACAGCATAAATATATTATTATGGATTGATTATTATTTATTACCAAGAATGATGTCATTAGTAGATTTTGAGTTTGAACCAGCTGACAACAAATCTGATATACCAACTGTGGCCAATCCAATAATTATTGTAAATATGCCCAACCAATGGCGAACAGATACTTGTCGATGCACAAATATTTTTGAAAATATAGCAGTAAAGATTATTACAGCACCTTAATGAAAAATGTATAATGTATTAAATAAGTAGATATCTATTAAGAGGATGCTATATTTGCACATATTATCTGTCTTACACATGCGTAAGATAATAATTTACATACCATATTCTTACTACAGTCTCTATTTATAGTTAATATATGAGAAAATTTACATACATGTTGTTGAATTAGTACAGGAGAGTATAAATTATATCTGTGCAGACCTTTTTGCATATATTTATTTGAAAATTATTTAGTATATTTGAAAACTCTGCTTTTACACAATTTATATTCTCCTCTACAAATACAAAATTTGTTCTAAAATTAACCATAAATATACCGAAATAAAAATCTGGTAAGAAGATTGCCTAGGTTCTGAATGTGTAAGATAGAGACAACACATGCAGGTGTAGTGTCACCTTAATATTATTATAATATCAACAAGCTTAATGGTGTAAATAAGCTGATTACAATAATACCTCTTAGCATTTGAAAACTAGATGCAAAAGTCATTGTGAGACCAATGTACATGAGTGTAGTAGCTACCAAATCAAACATTGCCGGGACAAAGAACAAAAATGGATTGAACTGTTGGTTGCCTTTAACTATAGGACTATCTTCAATCGGATACTGTAACAAAAATGTAATTTAAATTATTTAAAATTCTGTAATTTCATGTGTGAAAAACTTACTTGTCTTTTTACGTGATATCTATATGCCAATTTGAAGAACAACAAGCACAAAAATTCTCCAAAAAACATAGTTAATGATTGAAAAAATGGATGGTCAAAAGTACGCTCCACACCGTCTGAACCTTTAGCTTTAAGATTATCAGCCCATCTAAACCAATAATAACATAATATAAGAAGTGTGAATTTCAGGTTGGAAACGTACTAATTTAGTTTACTAAAATGAAAAGAGAGTAGTCTTTGGAAACATCTCAGGAGCACATGTATTGGACAAACTTATAAATCTAACAATGGTCTAGGCACTGTAGTTATTAAATACATGGCTTAATAAATATTATTGTTTACAGTTCTTACACTTAAACATTAATAAGTTCAATTTAATAGTTAATAATATAAACTATTAATGTTTCTAATGAAAGGTTGGAAACAATAAAATAGTAAATATTTGTTTAAACAATAATTTAAAAATCAATTCTGTTTAATTCTCACACTAGGTACACAATTATAGTAATTAGTGTTTGTAATTTGGTGGGTAAAATGTATTGGGTACTATACTGATTTATTGTACTATCACCACAAATGTATAGTTTATACTTTGTAATTAATTTTAGTTTAGTAATTCTTAATATTAGTGAATATTAATGAATCTAAAAACTTTAATTTTTACTAGTATAAATCTTAATTTTTTTTTTTTATCATATAGTTTATTATCATTTTTTATAAGCGTATTGGATAATCTGTAGAATTGTTTAAATAGAACATGTTACATGCAATACTTGTACCATTAGCTCAAGGTTAACTAGTTGAGTGACACGCATGTATGGTTCATATTTATGTAAAAGTTTTCATATAAATAAACTTGATGAGTTAGAAACAGTATACACATCATATTATCATTCCTATTATATTTAAACACAATTATAAAAAATCAGTCTTTTAAACTTTTACTAATTAAAACTCAGTTACTACTGAGTATCATAAATGTATGGTTTCTCTAAACGTGCTGTAAGAGGATAATAATAAATAAATACTCTAATTTTATTGTAATATTAGTTTAGACTTAGGTTAGCATAAAAATAAACATACAATTACTGCAATCATAAAAAGGGGGAATTAGATTATTGTTAAATGAAAAAGTTTATTTATTATCATACTGAGAATATAAATATATTAATAATTTGCAATGTTTAATTATATGGTATTATACGGACATAATGTCATATAAAAAGCATTTGGTAAAAATATCTCATTTTACATGTATTTTTATTTTTTTGGTTTTAGTCCATTTAGGGCTTTTGCTGCTTCTACCACCATTTTATCATTTTACATACATAAGACTATTTTGTATGGATAAAAATACAATTTAATATTAAAAACATTTAAAATGTACAATATAATATCAAGAATATTTAATGATAAACAAATAAACTAAACTGTGAAGTTAAATTGAGTTGAATCGTGAGCAATTGATAGTTGTACATGCACCATCAACAACAATTTACGATTTTATCATTAGATAAAGGGTCAAGAGTCAACCCGAAACAAATTATTAATCAGCCATTAACAGAGTCGTCAACTCATGAAGCCGACATCTCACAAGCACAATGTCAAATGACTTTTATCTATACGGCGCACAGTCAAGGCAAATCCTACAGGATTTAAACATATCGTAGCCACTCGTGAGTCATGAGTGGGGCTTTTTTAAACTAGGTAGTACTCCTGGTTAAAAACATTGAACTCACTTGACGCTGAGTGTGTTAATGGATCCCGTGATGACCATTCCGACGGCCAACACCAGTTGATACGACGAGTACATGATCGCAGTACTGGATGTGGATTACACTCGTTAGAACAGTAATTGAGCAGCAGACGAACCGATTTGAGCTCACCTAAGACATGTCGTGAAAAATTCATACATGAAACAAAATTCGAGACATTCCTAGATCGGGGCAGAGTAATGTGCGTCGAGACAAAAATGCTTAAATGTCACGTCTTGGCGTGTTTTGCGTACAATTTTTTTTTATCTACCGACCAGAAAAGCACGTCCGAATAAAACAATATATTATCCTAATCCCTATTAATAGTTCTATAAATCGATTATGGGTACGTACCGTGTGTGTGTGTGAAAGCCGTTGGGAAGCTCACCCGTCGCAGGACGATCTGTACAATATACTTTTGGTCGTCAATAGGACAATGGGTACAACTACAGTCCACAATGAGTACAATGTGCAGACTGTAGAGAGGAAACAGTAGCCAGTAGATTGACGGTGCGGGCGAACTGTTTCTGATTGTTTGTTATTATATTTCAATAGTTATTGACTAATGACTATTGTCACGAGTAGACAATAGGTCGTCTTTGTCGTCGAAGGCAAACGATAGTGGGCAACATCCAAATCAGTAATCACTAATCAGGCAGACCAAGCGGGAGAGAATAAAAAACTTAAAAGTAAAAACCATCGATAATAATATTATACAATGGATAGGACATAGTTCTTGGTAAAAAATATTATAGGTTCTTAATGAGGACTTCTTATCGAACGTTCTCGAATTGTCGTTTGACCCTCTCACTCAGAAACGCTAAAGATGGTCCATTAGTCCATCTAAAGCATAGGGTAATCTATAGTAATTCGTAGTGATTTTTAGTAATTTTTTTATGAAACAGTGTGGTGAACCAACTACCTGGAACAGCTGAGAGCCAAGAATCACTAGCGCTTGTAGTGGTTTAAATATGTTAAATATAATAATGTATTTGTCGTAAAGTTCACGAAAATGTGCAAATTATTTTGAGTTAGAAATTCCTAATACATTTTTCTATTTAAATCTAAGATTTAAAAAAGTAATACAAGGTTGAAGGTTTTTCATTAGTTAGTCTACCATAATCAAAATAAAAATAAATATCTACGAGCAAGTCAAATTAAGTTTTTATTCGCGTTTGAAATTCATATTTTTTACACATTATTAGTTATTACAACATTGGATTCAGTGCCGTAAAAACCGGGTGTGCAAAGTGTGCACCGCACACAGGCCTCGGGCCTCATAATATGTCGAAGGGCCTCAAAAGATCTAAAGACTAATATTAAACTAATATAAAATTATTAAAATATATAAATTATTTATTAGGTATTGATTTGGAAACGAAACCAATGTTATTTCATTTTTTTTATATAGCATGGAGTAGTGATCACTGTTTTTAGATTTCGAGAGGAACGAACAAATGTATTGATTTTACAAGATGTCTATAATTTTTTTCATTTCTGTCGGTCATCAACATTGGGTAGTAAAAATATTCCGAATTTCGAGATCAGCATTTTTTCTTTTAGAAAAGTGAATCTAGTTGGTACTTTTTGGAGATCGAAATCGAAATTTTTAGTTGTAGTTATTAAAAAGCGTCAATAAAAAAAAAAAATTGTCATTTTTACCTAAAACCAAAAATTTTATTTTTTGGCATAACTCGAAAACTAATAACAGTAGACCATTGAAGTTTTCACCAAATATTTCTTTAATATTTTCAATAAATTACATTTTAGAAAATTTTTACTTTTTTAAGTTAGTTATAATATAGCCTTGAGAAATTGTTTTAAAATTATAGATTATTTTAAATTAAAATTTTTTTTTTGTTTAAACCCGAATTTTTGTCTGCTGACTTTAAAAATTGCAAAAAAAGTTTTTGAGGTGTGTATTGAAAAAGATAATAAGGGGCCTCAATATTTTGGTTTTGCACACAGGCCTCAAGTAGCCTAGTTACGGCACTGATTGGATTCACTCGATTTCACATGTAACGATTTTCTTATTTTGTTGTAACTAAAAAACGAATAACTGAAGATACATAAAAATTACACTGAATATTTATTTTAGCATTTTCTAGTATTTAGTAGTTAAAATGTATAAAATGTTCAACTTTTATAGCTAAGGATTAAAAATTTAAAACAAAGTTATACGCAAGTAGTTAATTCTGTTACCAAAAAATCTAAAAAATTGGTACATAACAACAGTTTATTTATATAGTTATTTTAAGTTCTTATTTGGACGAAATTACATATTAAAAAACCAAGGTCTTAACAATTTTAGTTAACTTGTTGTAATTTTATAGTATTAATTCAACTTAGCTACTACCGTTATAATAATAAGTAATAACAATATAAACATAATATAAATATGCCACACTGACAAATCATCACCGCTCAGGATCGTTTTTTGTAAACAATGATATTATTATATCATTGAATTCAAATTTAATACCACCCATTAAACAGTGACCCACTTGTAACCTACTGTACAGCAGAGCGACATCCAATTACCAACCTTTTTATTATTAATAAGTCACAGGGACTGCAGTTGCAGAAGCCCACTAATAATGGCTCTCGTGGAAAAGATGACCAAACTATTTAGTAGAAAAGAAAAATAGTTTTCAATATGATTTATAAATATTTACACTAGGATGTAAAATATTATTTATTTTGAATTAAAGAGCAAAATACACTTAAATATAAACATAAATTCAACTAAGAAATATATATAAAAATCTTAAAAATTATTATCACTTTGTTTATAAATATGAAGAATTATAATAAATAATAAGTAAATAAAAAAAGTATTTTGTATATATTAACAGGAAAAAATGTTTTTTTTATAAATAGCAAAATATAGTTTGATTTTTAATACGTATAAATAAAAAGTTAAGCTAACTTATAGGACATTAGAACTGTTTTATTTACATATAAATACAATGGACATTGGACAGATAACATAATAAAAATAAAATATTTAAATTATTATTCTCCTATGCCATTTGGCTCTAATATTGTGAATTAGATTCATTTCTTTCAAATACTCTAATTAGTTGAGACAGTGTTATATCATCCCATCTGTCGAACATGTCACCGGAGAATAAATTTGTGATGTTTTCCTCAATAGAATTTCGAATAATGAAATTATGTACAAATGTAGGTCTAAAAACAAATAAATATTTTTTTTATTTTATTTTTTTTTATTATTTATTATGTCTTAATAAGCCTAAACATATACACGTATACAATATTTATGCATTTGTGTGTATGTGTGTTATTAAAATTATTATTTTATAATAATTTATAATAAATAGTTTAAATTAGTTTTACTTGGCTTGTCCTATTCGATGAATTCTCCCAATGGCCTGATGCTCATCTGCTTTGTTAATTATTGGCTCCATGAAAAATATTCTTGTTGCTTCAGTTAAATTCAATCCCTTTGAACCCAGGCTCAATTTCATTAATAATGCATTTATTTTCTTATTTGACTAATAAGAAACAAACATAAAATATTTCACTTTAATATTGTTTTTAGTATTCAATATTTACAGTAAAACTTCCATAAAAGTCACTTATATGTAATGGTAATTTTTTTTTTTTCATCCCAAGTGTTATGGACATAGTACATTAGTACCTCTATATTATACTATATTATAGCGGCCACTTTAAATAACTATACTACCGCCGTCGGTAGAACGCTACTAGGCGGAGATCAAAATTTGTCCGTTCTCACGCGTTCCCACCAATGAACCCTCCACAATGCTGGCCGCCGTCACGCAACTGCTGCCACCGATCGCTGCGTACTGAGTGGGGGAATTTACGGCGATGACTAGGTGGTAGAGTGGGAGAAATTTAGGAGTAGCGTTTTACCGGCGGTAGTAGTATATCAAAATATAACTATCCAAAATAGAAAATGTACAACTGATGACATTGTCTGATTAAAAATATTTCCTTTTCAATATCCTAAAAAAAAAACCTAATTGTAGAGGAAAAAATCATCCTGACATCACAAATATAAATTGGGAATAGAGAAAACTTAAGTAAATACAAAATAAAAATAAGGTTTAAAAATTATCAAAATACAACAGCTATGATGAATTTAAAATTATAAAAAGATGTAAACCAAATTAAACACTAAACCGTTTTCACTATTCAAAGAAGTGTGTAGATGGATTTAATTTATAAAAAAATAACAGAAATTAATTTTGAAAAAATTTTTCAAACATAATAAAATAAATTTAAAACTAAACTAATATGAATCAATTTTTTTAATCTAAAACTTAACTAATACGAATCAATATTTTTAATTGAATTATTTGTAACATGCATTACACATTTTTTTAATTATATTATTCAACAACTCTTTTAAATTAAAATTGTATATAGTAAAAACTTTTGAGTATTATATCATTTCATAAACACATTTTTTGGTGTATAGTGTGTACATACTACATAGTACATATTATTATTATGTATATCTTTTGTTTAAATATATAAGTATTTTATATAGCGGAAATCAGAAAGTATTGAGCTTGACTGTTAATGTTCACCTCTGAATGATAATTATTTTCCGGTCCTCCCCTGACAGTTATATGGAAGTTTTACTATATATATATAATATACCGCATCAACATTTACATAATTATCTTAATTTTTTACATACCTTAAAATCTTTTAGTATTTTTTTATATTTAGTTCCTGGTTTTAGTATCCTATAACTGACTGAATTTTGATCTAAAGCTTCTCCAAGAAGATTTAAGGCTTTATCCCACTAAAAAGAAAACATGTTATTTTTCAAAATAAAATAAACATTGAAAATAAATATTCATGTTATACTATATAACTCACATTTGAGAATATTAAAACTTTCACATCTGGATCCTGAGTAATCAATTCTATTAGTTTTAAAGTGACACTTTCTATTTTAGTAGAAAACGATCCTTTGATTACTATGTTTGACCCTTCACCTTCTCGGTTATTTTTTACATAGGATATATAATCCATTGGGGTAGTGTTCCTACACATAGGACAATCTATCTCAAAGGCATCTGAATGATTACACATGGTTGCTAAACACTGATTACACACACTATGGCCACATTGTAAAACTGCCCACTGTTAACCAAAAATAAATTAATAATATTATACCTTCATGTAATTATTTGTTTTTAACATACCCCGGCTTCACCATTCAGACAACATATTGGACATGTATCAACTTCAGTAGAGTTTTCTTTTTCTTTTTTTAAATTTTCTAGATAATGTAGGGTTCCAACTTTTTTTTCTAAATAAGAAGCAGTTATTGGCATATCTCCAGTTAATGACATCAAATTATAATCCACCTAAAAACAATTTTAAATCAATAAATATTAGGCACATTTACTATCTTAAGTCTCATATAATGATATAAATATAAACAAATAACTAACATATTGTTCCAAAATAACATCATTTTCATCTTCTCTTTTAGACTTTTTTTTAGGTGGACCATCTTCGTTAGCTGCTGGTGTAATATTATCTCCAAGTCTCAACCTTGACTTCGCCATAACTATCTCATCATGCGCAGAAAGACTATCACTGAGATGAGTCCATAGAAGCCGTAAGTAACGAAATTCTTTACGTACTAACTCCAATACCTTCATATGTTCAGCTGCATCTTCCAAACAGCTTTTATTTATAATTTTGGCTTGTCCGTATTGAAATAGTTCTGTAAAATATATTTAACTGTTAAGAATTCTAAACAAAAATGTGATATAATACCACAACTTACTCATAAGTAAAAATTCTTTTTGAGACATCTTCCAAAGTCCTTTACTAGTACTTTCATACATGGTTTCTTGATCTTTTTCTACAGCTGTATCATTGAATGTATTCTTTTGTTTATTAGAAACACTAAACAACAATGATTCATATACTTGTAATTCACTTTCAGCCTTACATAAATAACACCTCCTAAGTATAAAAAAATTATAATTAAATTAAAGAAAAACAAAATATTAAAATCATGTATACCTATTTTTTGAATTCCCCTTTTTTGATTTTAAACGTAGATGACATACTAATGCACTTTGAACCAAGTCATTCATGGGTGCTTCTTCTAAAGCTTTTAGTATTGATATTGTGTCTATTCTTGCTGTATTTAGGTCAGAAAGCCAAACACCAAGAATATTATAAACATCGTTTTCAGACTTCAATCTAAATTAAATCAAAAACATATAAAGCAATTATATCAGATGCACAAAATATAAAAGTACCGGTTTGCAATATTTGGAACACCAGGCACACGATAATCCTCCAACTCCATTTGTACTTTGGCTAAGAAGTCTTTTGGTGAAAAAATCCAATCCAACATGTCTGACCACCACTTAGAATAACCTAAGGTTTTATTCCCAAGAATTTTAGCTACCTTATCCGAATAAAACTTAACAGTTCTATGAGTCGATTCAATCTAAAATCAGAAATTAATATATCAGGTAAATATATTTACTATATTTACTTTAAATTATTATATTTATAATTATCTTAACACAGACTAAAAATATATTGATATATAATTATTAATTATTATTTAAAGTTATTCATTACACAATGGTTATTTCAGCTAAGCATAAAAAGTAGTGTTTTATTACCATATTTGTTAAAGCTTTAAATATATACTAGCTCTAAGTTTCTAACCTGTGCAGAAATTGCTAAAAAATGTTAAGAGGATATCAGCTTAATATATTTACCCCCTCAGACCCACCATTCAAGCAAAATCGTTTTTAAAAAAAAAAAAACAGGCATGAGTTATTGACATGAAGAAGACAGTAATTGGATTTTAATTAATTAATTTTTTTTAATCATTGAGGAGATCTTGGCACCAACGACGAGGCGGAATGTCTGGGTTTATCTATTTACTTAGAGTTGAGATAAATGGGTTGATTTGATGGGACAATTCGGTGCGGTTTTTAGTTTTAATACTGTTTCTATATTTAGGTCTTTATGGAGTGAGTCGTGTGTGACTAACGGTCCATGGAACAGACTCAACAGAGGGATATTGACTGAAAAGCTTGGATTATTTGGTTTGGCACACCTGGATAACTATAGACCATAAGTCTATAAGGGCCTTAGCATCAATTTGTATAATAGAAGTTAATTGTTTATAGAAAGTTTGGATTTTAAGATAGCACAAAGTGGGTGTAAATCTGTTTTGATTTTAGGTGGGATCTCTCATGAGATGCTTGTCTAAAATTAATCCAAGGTATTCATTTGGTTTTCAGTTGGGATAGGAATTATATCTATGTAAAGGACTAGAGGGATGTCTATTTTTAAAGCAAATTGGGCATTAAAAGATTTGTTTGCATTTATTATTATTTTCCATTTTACAGTAAATTTTATCAAGTTGTGATTGTTGGATTTGACATGCTTTGGTGATATCTAAATTTGTGCGTTAAAATTAAAGAGTGATTTTAGTACTGGGAATGTACTGAGGTGACATATTGTAGAGATTGAGCAAGAGATCACTACTTTGAAGGACTCCTTCATAGATTTTAAAGTGGGATGAAATTGCATTGCCATGCCTAACAAAGGTGTGGCTTATAGGTTTATTAAACTTATGGATAAAAATAGTCATAACATTGCTTTTTATTCATGGGTAAGTAACATTATTGCTTTTTTTGGGAGGAATTTGAATGTTTTGTCCGTTATTAAGTTGTAACCCAGTGACTTTTTATTTTTAAGCTTTTGTATGATTTGTATTATTTCACTGGGTGATTCTGAGCCACAGAGGAGATTTAATTGGATTTTAAAGTAGGCTATGCCCCCCCCTCTTCCAAACACCACCTATGTAATCTGGGAGGAGACGTAGTGTCAGCCTCGCATACTTGTGTAAATAATTAAATTTAATAGTTAAAATATTATAAAAATCAAAAATATCTTATGGCTTTAAATAGCATGACTTTCCGGTGAACTTTTTCTTTTTGATAGAGGTAGAAATCCTTATTGAGAACCTTCTATCAAAATTCTTATGTTAGCTAAAAAAGAAATACTTTTATGAATTTTTGACTGAAAAATAATTTACAAAATCTAAAAAAATTATCATGTCTATAAAGTAAAAATAGCTCAAAAAGAGTCAAAAAGTTTTAAAATTTAAGTATTTTTTCCAATTTAATAGGAGGGGTAAAAATTTTAAATTTTTGGCATAGCTTGAGAACTGCTGTTGGGCGTCCCTGATCGGTTTAGTATAACTGTACAAAAATATCTGCACACATTTTAATTTTTAATAATATTTAATAACATTTAATTAAAGTAATATGAAACTTGTTAAATAGATCAAATTGTATACTTATCACTAACATTTTGTTTACTAGCGTCAAGATATTCTTTTTCAAGTACTTCCATATCTCTTTTTAAGTCTGAATCATTTAATGCACGGCTTATGGTTGTATTTTCATCAAGTACAGAAACCAAATTATACATAACATGGATTTTCTAAAAACAAATAATAAATTAGATAGAAACAACATAAAAAACATAAATATATTCTACCTGACATGTATCGATTTTAAGTTTTTTATCTTTATATTTTTCCATTAAACCTAACACTGTCCTATAATGTTCAACAGCAGTGGCTGGTTCTCCACGAATAAGATACAATCCAGCAAGGGCATTGTGCTGGGAAACAAGTGTACGTAAATAATCATTACATACAATACGACATTTATCTACCATTACATCCATTAACTTTTCCATTGTCATTGTTCCTTTTATTTTTAAAAACTGTCCATTCACAGCCTAAGAAATAAAAATAATTGTTATTTAAAATGTTGATTTACTTAAATCTCACACAAATAAAATTACTTGAGGGTGTACACAAGCTTGCCGAAGCTTATATAATGGTCCAATGATAGTATATATACTTTTCCTGTCAATATTCTTTACTGATATATCTAAGGATGGAAACAGCCTTAAAAAAACAATTATTTAATGGAATTAAAAATATTTTTAATAAATATTATTTAGTATTTACTATTTAAATTTAAATAGTAAATACTGACATTAAAACAATAAATTATAATTTTGTAAAAATATTAAATTCTTAATTTTTAACAAGGAAACATTATATAGATTATAATTCAGCAGGATTATAATTAACATTGGCATGTTAAATTAAATACATCAACTTGATATTATATAACTAAACATTAAATTATTACCTGTTTACACTATCAGCAAAAATTGTAGCACAATCATCATGCTGGCTTAGATAAAAATATTTTTCAATCTGGGAAAATGTTAGCCAATGCTGTTCATGAGTTAGTTTTGGTATGTTTAACTCCGAATTGACATCGTCTATTGAACTACGCCATATCAATTTTGAAAAAAATATATACATAATAGTTTCTTCGCCCTTCATTAGCTGCAGAAACTGTTTACGATGGCAGTAAGGACTTACTTCTAGGAACTTTAAAATACCATAAAGATCTAAAAAATAATAAATTGTATTTTTAATACCTTAAAACACGCACTATCCAAAAAATAAAGTTTTCAACAATTCTGTAGTTTTCAAATTTTATACCTTTGCAACCGCCAGCGGCCATAGTTGATCATTACTACAACGTCAGTGGCAGATCCAGGGCTTAATTTTTTTTTTTTGGGGGGGGGGTGGAGGGGCAAATGCCACTACCTGGATCTGCAACTCTACAACACCACATGACCGCCGGTGACCGTAAATTAATATGGTTTTATATAATTAACTTTTCCATGGCGCAACAAAATGTACTAAAAAGAGCGCAATGGCATAGTGGGAATCATTACAATTCTTTTGATGTAATAACTAATAAACACAATATTTTTATTTTTTTAAATGTTTTTTTCAAATAATACCATACACAAAATTTGGAATGACATGGAAAAATGACAAAAAATATGTTTTGCATCATATTGACAGCCAGCAGTGACACGGCAGTCAATATATTAACTGTACACATTATCCACCATGTGCGTGTACAGTGAGTTCTGTTTAATGTGATCAATGGTTTATAGAATCAACGTTTATTGGAAATAAATAAGATAAACCCAAAACAAATTGTATGTTACAAATATTAAATTACTCTTTTATTAGAATCACTGTGTACCAGATAATTGAATCGCTTTTATAAACATTTTTATCGATTTTCATACTTATTATGTTAGAGACCAAGAGCTGGTATAGAAACTAGTTAATAGTTATACAATAAAATATTATTTTTAAACTTATTAGTGTAATGATTTACGTCCCATCATTTAGTATAGTTGTTTTAGTTCCTGTTCAAACATTTTCTTACATTACGTCAACCAAACGTAAAGATTTATCTACAAAAGAAAAAATAGGTTTACTATTATGATAATTTAGCATATGTTTGCAATAAGAAACCGAATTCGTTTTGAAAAATCCCCAGCTTATATTAAACAAAATTTTAAAAATTGTAAGCAAATAGATGTAAATGGAGAAAACAATTTGCCTCTTTCATGAATACAGAAATAGAAAATTACCTACACCACTCTGATCACATTAAGTGGAACTATATGCAATATGTATCTATTAAGATCGGATTAAGATCAGTTGGGACTATCCATCAACCGTGTGTTCTATTCATTAATGTTCTGTATATTAATATTCAAAGACCAAATAATAAACATGAGTTATTATTTAGATAAACAAATATTAAACATAATGTATTAATTAATAATGTTATGATAATTGACATACCATTTAGTGATTTTTGTATTGGTGTACCAGTCATAGCCCACTTATGGACAGATCTGAGATTGACTGTCATATCACATACTTTGCTACTTGCACTCTCAATTGCTTGACCTTCATCCAAACATATTCGCCACCATTTAATGCAAGGCAATGGTGACTGAGGATAATTGTATTTTTTTGAATGTCGCAAACGAGTACAATTTTGACTATCCACATTCTTTAACAAAAATATTACTATTATTCTTCACAAAACTATTATATACATATAAATCATAGCAATTGAATTAGTACATACCAAAAACAAAGGGGAATGTTTAAGTGGTAAAAATATGTTGGTTACTATATATGATACAAAAATAATACGAAAAAAGATGAATAGTTAAAAATAACGTAATCTTGTTACCTTTTTATTTTGAAACTTATACAAGTATGTTACTTCAAAAAGTAACATTTCTCCACACAGCTCAGATTATGTCCAATATGATTTTTTTTTTTATTATCTGTTTGGACTATAGCAACAACATTTAGGGAGGACCCATTAAAAAAACAATGACTAAGTCATGGATAATGTATAACAGTACTTTAAATTAAAACGTATGTCTTAAGAAGGTATTTTAAAACCGGTGTCACAGGGGGTTAGGTTAGGTTAGGTTTGGCTATGTACATTAATGTATTTTTTTTATAGCATAATAAATGTATATTTTGAATTGTGTATTTTTTTGGGACGATTCTTATATATTTCATGTTTATATAACTTTCTTTTTAAATATACAAAAATTATTTCTAAGCTTCTATTTATTTAGTTATACCATTGAATGGAATTGAATATAAATACTATAAATGGTTCACTGGCCCGGTTTTTTAGTGGCACGAGATATTTACTCCCGGTAAATGGCGGGGAGACGTGACTTCTAGCGATTACAACGTTATACACTAGCCACCCGAATTAGTAATATCATGTAATGTTGTAATAACTAGTAGTCACGTTGCCCCGCCATCTACCGGGAGTAAATATCTTGTGTCACCAAAAAAACCCGGCCAGTGAACCATCTATAGTATTTATAATCAAAAGTTATATGATTATTCATTATACTTACAACATCTGAGACATAGTTTAAATCTCTTGAGAGGGTAGTATACGATGTTATAACTATATCGTAGTCACTGAAAGAAATAGGTTGAATATAACCATCATGCACACCATTGTAAACATAAACTTTTAGACCAGGTTTTGCAATATGTTTTTCTATCTATAATTAAAATGTATAGTGTTAATGCACAACAAAAATATATAAATAAATATTAAATGTTACCTCGTCAATCCACTGGTTTAAAATAGACTGTGGTACAACAATCAAAGTAGCCTTGCACTGTAGTCTATCATTTACAATCCAACAATTAGAACACAAGTATGGCACTTCTTGAAATGGTTTGGGTTCAAAATGTACACACTGTGCATGCTGGCCTTTACCACACATTGTACAATACACTATGATACTTTTACGTGGTGCTTTCTTGCAATAACACGCAACAATATGTGTATCTTCATCAACATTACTTTCAATGATTTTCTTTGGTACTGTACTCATTTCACTCAATACACTTTTATACCAACTTTCTAGCATACTTCGTGAACTACTTTTTGATTTTACTTCAAGATCTTTATCATTGGTGTATTCTATATATTTACTCGTCGATGGTGTAGATGGGCTTTGAACCAATGGTTTTTTTATACAGTCTTTAATCACAACTTTTTGGTTATAAAACTAAAAAAAAAAAAACATTGATAAAATAAAAAATACAAGGAAAATTTTAAATTAATTACTTCGGGAGGTGCTGTATTTTCCATGATGCAACATAACATTTCAACAGTTTTTCCTAGACCCATCTCATCAGCTAAAATGCCTCCACTAAACGGAGACCCATCACATTTAACAACTATAACAAAATGTTTTAAAAATCATTTTACTTAGAAGTATATTATGTAAGACAACAAGGTATATGCCAACAAATATTATATAATAATTCAAAAATTCAAAAAAAAAAAACACTTGTCTAATTATTATCTATTACCTAATTTGTCTGAATATATATTTTTATTATTAAACCACCAGACATGGATACTATATATTAAAGCAAAGACAAATATTTTGATGGGGAATTTTATAAATTACAGAAACTAACTAATGATAATTTACTTCTCACACAGTTAAAATGGTATATGAAATGCCTAAATATTACTCCTTAAAACATATCACTATCCAGACCCCTTAATGTAATTTTAAAAAAGTGTAATTTTTTTTATATATTTATTAATACATCGTATACATTTTACTCATGTATATATTAATAACAAGAAGAAAAATTAAGTTAAATCCGGTTTTCAAAAAATGAAATAAATTTAAAACTTCCATAATTTCAATAAAATAAAATAAAAGGTTCACAAAAATAAACAAAATATAATTAACAAATCTAATCATAAATACATAAATATATTATATAGTAGATTTCTTAATCTAAAAACTGATCTTGTTATTTTTTAATCAATCATTTGTAGATGTTCCTGAACAGGGCCACATTTAGGGGGAGCCCTGGGTAATTTTTTTTTGCACCGGGGCGCAAAATGTCTAATTGCAGGCCTGTTCCTGAATCTATTCTCTATGTAATCATTCAGAATAAAATATTAAATGTCATTATTATTGTTTCAAAAACATAAACTAAAACATCGATATTGTAATATCGAAAAAGCGAGTGGAATAATAAAAATTTATTCTGATTAAAAAACCTGAAAAATCAGTTAAGCGAAAAAAAAGCAGAAGCAATTACCATTACAGTAAAGTGGGGCATAATGACATTGTTTGCTGAAAAAATTGAATAGAAAATCAAAAAATGTACATCCAGTTTAGTTTCCAAATATATAAAAATGTATATTTACATATAAATATAAATATAAATATAAATATAAATATAAATATAAATATAAATATAAATATAAATATAAATATACATATCTAGGACTTTCCTACATACAACTGTGATTTTTGTTTATTTAGGTAATTACAGCATAATAAATTATATTAATTTTCAACTCACAATCGTTGTTTTTTTCTCTATCAACCATCCATTTCACAGCTCTTCGCTGGTAAGATCTAAGTGTTGGTATAACAATCTGAGGTTGTTCAAAATCATCATTAATATGTTTATGATGAGTTTTAATGATATCAAAAAACTTAATAGCTTGTAGGTTATTCATGTTTGAAAGTCCTGAAAATATTTAGGTATATAACTGTAAGATTATTTACTTTAAAATATAGCATATAAAATAAAAAAAATATTTAAATTTAATTTTAAAACAATTTTATTGATAAAATGATGTGTGATTAAGATTCCTTTGTCTGTTTAGTGTTAATTAGGATTTAAAAGACTAATATTTAAAAGTATCTTTGAAGTTTATAACTGTAACATATTTATATTATATTCTTCTAATATATTCTATTAAACTATAAAAGAAAAATATTATGATATTTAACATTTTATTTTTATGGATGGAAAATATTACATACAATTCAATAATTGATCAAACCAAATAATTGTATCATAAATTTAAATCTTATTTCCAGTAGTTTTAATGAATCATTATAATATAGTCTCATGGATGGACTGTTTAAATATATCAAAGAAATATACCTAATTATTTAAATTATTCCAAGTCCTATAAAAATCAAGAAAAACATGATACCGTAGAACCATATTAAGAATTAATATAATATTTTTCATTAGTGAATAGAATTAATAAACATAAAACTGTAATCAATACAATTTAGAATCGACTTTGATGTAAACAAATGATTAATGTCAACACCCTTACAAATGACTACACGCATTACAATTACAAGTATGTTGAATGTCGAGGTAATTTTCTTAATAGAACAATATATACTATATTACTATGTAACAATGTACTACCTGATTAAGTAGTAACCAGATACAATATCAACAATGAGTTCTATAGTCAAATAATGTATAGTTACTTCATTAAGTTAGAATTCATAATATCTACTACCAGATTACAAGAGACATTTCAAAATTTGAATAGGTATTAATCAAGAAAAAGACTCAGGCAAGAAGTGAGAACACCGAATTGGCGTATTAACAAAGATACATATAATGTAGGCAAATGCACTTATTACACGATAATATTGCACGTAGGTACATCAAATTTCAGCCAATTTAATCAAGCCGATTACTGAATATCCGGCAGAAGAGTTTGACCAAGAGAAAAGTCTAACGTACCGAATATCAATATCTACAGACGAAGACTAACAGGATCATACGGCAGGTCCGATATTTAGTAGTTACATTACGAGTATTAACTACTTAGGTACCATGATCGTACGGTACAATTGTGCATTTGTGTCTCTAAAACGAACGAGAAAATAATTAACATTAAAGCTAAAGCGAACTTCGCGTACATAAATTAATATAATTTAAAATTATTTAAAATTTATTACAAATTATACAATTTATAATAATTTAATATGTAATATTGTAATGACTTTAAACCTTATCTATTAATTCACATAGGTATCTCATCAAAAATAATATATACTAAAGTTGTTTGTATATCTGTGGTATATCGTATATACCAAGCTTGTTGTTGTTTACAGTTTGCAGGAAGTATAAACAATATTCCAGTGTAGGAAAGCTACCCGATCCAAATGTCTTTCGGATGAACTACACTATTCCCCCGGCTGCGAGTCGAAAACGGTGTCCTTTGATGAAATGACAAATATCACGGACAAAATATTATGTATGAAACATAAATATATATATATATATCTATATGAAACTATGAATGGTTACCGCGATATTCTCGATGACGCAAGATCTATTTGTCAGCATATTAAAATATACAGGTGTCCCGTGAGGATTTACCTATTAGCCGTAGAGGGGGACTCGCCGCCCGGACAAAAACCGGTTTTTTGCCGTTTTACTTATTAATTAAAAAAATTATTTAAATTCAGGAAATTAATGAAATTAAAATGTTGAAACGTCAATATTTTCAGAAAAATGAACTCTACAAAATGGCAATCTTCAATAATTTTTTAAATAATTAATTAAAAAAATAATTTTTTTAACTTTTTTACCAAAACATAAAAAATAAATAAAAAATTAGTTATATGTAGTGCTTACCTCTGTGAGTCTTATTAAGAAAACAGAATTACGATATCTCTATTATTTCAGGAGATATCGCAATGAGTAAATCCTCACGGGACACTCTGTATATATATTATATATTCCGTGATTTCTCGTCGGTGTCCAGCACCACGGATATTATACAGGACTGGTAACGACTAGGAAGCAGGGGGCAGGGGTCTGTCCAAGAAAAGTTATAGATGAGGCGGTGTGCGAAGGGAAAATACTTTTTGAGCCCAAGCGCTATCTGTTAGTTGAGCTCAGCAACAGTCAACAGACTAAAAAGTAATTCCTCAATATTCAAATGGTTTATTTTATTTATATAGTTATTTATATTAATATTTATTTATATTATTATTTCTTGTATAGTTGTATGTAATATACATAATATTGTATGCATATTTTATATGTTGTTTTTATTTATTTTGTTATTTATAATAAATATACATTTTTAAGTATCAAATTTTGTTGTTGTTTTTTTTTAATATGGTTAATAAGTGTGCTATACTTAGGGCCGTTTTTACAATGTCCGGTTAAAGTTAACCGACACTTAACCGGCCGAATTCTGCCGGTAATAAAATCTGTTATCAGTCGGTTAGCGTTAACCGACACTTTACCGGACATTGTAAGAACGGCCCTTAATTGTATACGTCGTAAGGGCGACTAAACAATTAAATATTCCTTATTTCAAATACCTAAAAATGATTTGCAACGTGAAAACTGGTTGCAATTTATTAATAAAATTAATAACAAAATCACAAATAAACCTACATGTTTGTGTGAGTTACATTTTAAAGCTGATGATATTATTCGTACATATAGCTTTTGGAATAATTTTAATGATGTTGAAATGGTAAGAAACTAAACCAATAGTTGATATGGTTATATATTTTTTTTTAAATTAACATACATACTATACAATCTTATATTTAGAATTTTCAAAATTGTAAAAACTAAAAAGCCTAAATTAAGACCTAATGCTCTACCATCTGTTACTAATTTTTCTGTGGAAGTTAGTCCAAATCTTAGTCCGTGGTGTCCAGTGATAAAAATAAATATTATGATAATAATATCATGGAACGAACGGCTTGTTGGATTTTTGTTCATAGGGCGGCGATGGATAACTATGAGCTGCTACGATTGGATGACAGTGATCAAAGCTCGGCGTTTATAGGACGTCCTACGAATGTAAACAAACACGACACCTAACCAAAACCAGACTGTTGGTATAAATGTTAATAATTTATAATACCGTCATATATTCATATTATAATACGGCTCGATGCCTTGATGTGTCTGTTGACTGTTCTGTTCGGTTTTTAGATAATAATACAGTAAATACCAACAATTTGAGAAAGAAACCGCCGAAGGAACTGGTCATTATTTGTAAGCGGTCCTACATCCTCAGTGGCGGCCTTTACTAGGCCAAAGTATGCAGCCGGCCAGGGATCGAGAAAAATCCTCCAGCAATGTGGTAATAGTGTTTTCCCACGATTTTTATCCTCAGAAAGTTTTAAAGAAATGCTTACATTTTAGAAACCAAATTACTCATTAAAATTTACGTTGGCTGGTCACACCAAGGCCGTGTCGTCAGTGAAGTTCAGTCCTAATGGTGAATGGCTTGCGAGCTCATGTGAGTTTTGTTTCTTCAATTTTTTATTAGAGTTTGTAATTTATGTATGATTAGATCTGTGTGTTTTGTATTCAATTTTCTACATTATTAACTTGAATATTCTAAGAAACTTTATACTTAATAATTTCCTCTGTCTACACATTATAAACAACCTTTTTTTTTTTGTTATTAAAGTATTTTTATTCAATCTGTTTCAATACATGAACAATAAGAACAATTGATGAAAGTAAAAATAAAATAAAATAAAAATAAATGACAGATTATCCCGAATGTAGAGGCCTCCCTGCGGAGGTACTACGACATGAGTAGATAAACAACCTACACAAAATAATATGCATTTTAGGTATAAATGTAAAACTGTTTGACGTTATGGGAACTCGATTGCAGATTGTTAATTCCATTCACATTTTAAAGATTCATTACTGTTTCTAATAAGTAATAATACGTAAACTAATATCTGATATTAATAAACTACATACCGCAGATATTGTCATTATTATGTTAATAATTTCCACGTTGGTTAACATAACTCATTTGACATTAATAATGATACATGTTATTTTTTTTTCACTAATAAACGTGGGGATCAGTGAAATGGTGTTATCAAAGATGTAGTATAGTTTGTTTAAAATGTGTAAATAGTATAAAAAAAATAATATTAACAAAAAAAAAAAACCCGGTAGCATAAATTTTTTGCGGAATGATAATGGAGAACTCGCCAAAACTTACTCTTCATTAAAATGCTTGTATTTTTTAAATTAATGTAAAATATATTTAGTTTCACTATGAATATATTTGAAATGTACTCAAATGAACACATTTTTTATTATATTTTGTTTATTAAATAATTTTGATTATGTTATAATATTTTAATTATTGTTTACAGCTGCTGATAAATTGATTAAAATTTGGGGTGCTTATGATGGCAAGTTTGAAAAGTCTATTGCTGGACACAAGTTAGGAATCAGTGATGTTAGTTGGTCATCAGATAGTCGTCTTTTAGTATCTGCCTCTGATGATAAGACATTAAAAGTTTGGGAATTAAGTTCGGTAAGAATTTATTTTATAGTAATTATCTAATTAATTAACCTAATTATGAACAGTATTAGATTTTTCACTCTTTATTTATTTTCAAGAAGAACATCACACCTATATGTGTTATATTATCATTCTAACAAACACAAAATAACAAATTACATTAAATTCAGCAGAACCAATTTTGCTCTGTTTTCTTTGATATTAAACTGATTTGACCTATTATAAAACTTAAAGTTCAGAACATTATCTGTGTTTGTGCTTTGGATTTTTAAAATATATCAATTTTCCTGTAGGTTATGTAAAATATTACAATTGAAAAATGCTCATTATCAAAGAAAAATCCAAATATTGTAAAAAAAATCTATTTACAAACACAAAATATTTTTGAAAAAAATAACTTTTTTTATTGTTTACTCAGAGTGATTCACCAAGCACGCTCACCACCATTTATTCCTTTAAGAGGATGTCAGCGCACTATTAGTTTTCTCTCTCTGGCCTACGCTCAACATAGACTAAATGCATTAACGCGGAATCATTTTTCTATGTTTTTATGTAATATTTGAGTAAAATCACCCATTACAAAAAAAGATAGAGAATAATATTTTTGAGCAAATGACATATCGATTTTATATTTTATTTGACTTTGTATTCAACTTTCAAAATAAAAAAAAAAATGTTGTAAATTTAAATTATGTTTAAATTGTTTTGAGACAATATTTAGACAAATCGATATGTCATTCCCTCAAAATATTATTCTCTATCTTTTTTGTAATGGGCGATTTTGCTCGAAGATTACTTAAAAACATAGAAAAAATTATTTTGCATCAATATGTTTTGTCGTTTTGCGCACGGGCCAGAGAGAGGAAACAAATAGTGCACTGACATCCGTTTAATTATGTCAAGTTCTGATTATAAATATACTGAAATACTATATTTTCAAATTCTCAAATTTTTTTGTACCACTAAAGGATTGTCCTGTGGCAATACCAACTTCTGTTCTTCAAATAGGAACCCTATTTTTTACTGTAATTTATTCAGTGGATAATTTTTTGAAAATGTTGATGTACCTAATTCAATCACTCAAAAACTACTCCTACAAATTTTGATTTGATACGTTAAAAATTCAGAAAAATTATTTACTACCTATATAATTTATTGTTGAATAGGGGTGTTCTCATTTGAAAAACAGAAGTTTGTACCTCCACAGGACACTCCTTAAGTAGTACAAAAAAACTCAAGACTTTCAAAATATGGCCTTAAAGTATATTAAAAAATTCAAAATATTAGATTTTGAATAACTGCGTTATTGAAAAAAAAGGGGTTGAGCTTTCATGGTAAATCACTCTGTATATGTTTTATTATCTAATAATAATTGATTAATATTTTAATTTGTTCTATACAAAATATGTATTTTATTTCATTGTTGAATAATGAATTAAAATTTTGAAAAGGCTTAAAATTAAAATGCACTTAATTAAATTTTATAAGTTACTTGATTATTATTTTATTTTTTTAGTCAAAATGTGTCAAGACACTTAAAGGCCATAGTAACTATGTTTTTTGTTGCAATTTTAATCCACAATCAAATCTGATAGCTTCTGGATCTGTAAGTTTTAAATATTTAGTAACAATTGTAAACTTATTTTTATATAATTTGTTTATTTCTTTAGTTTGATGAAAGTGTACGAATTTGGGAAGTAAAAAGTGGTAAGTGTCTGAAAACACTTCCTGCCCATTCTGATCCAGTTAGTGCTGTTCATTTTAATAGAGATGGATCCCTTGTTGTTTCTAGTAGTTACGATGGTTTATGGTAATATTATTTTAAAAAATTTCCTTAGTTAATTTATATGCATTTTATACTTTTATATGGCTTGTTTTTACTTTAGTCGTATTTGGGATACTGCCAGTGGTCAATGTTTAAAAACACTTATCGACGATGACAATCCACCGGTTTCGTTCGTAAAATTCTCACCTAATGGAAAGTACATCTTGGCAGCTACTCTTGATAATACACTTAAACTATGGGATTATACAAAAGGCAAATGTCTAAAAACTTATGTTGGCCATAAAAATGAGAAATACTGTATATTCGCAAATTTTTCTGTGACAGGTGGAAAGGCAAGTATTACATGTTAATTATTAACCATTTAGTTTATGCTTATTTTGTTTGTTTATATAATTGTAGTGGATAGTTTCTGGATCTGAAGATAATATGGTATATATTTGGAATTTACAATCTAAAGAAATTGTACAGAAATTACAAGGTCATACAGGTAAACTTATTTTAAATTCATATTGAACCTATTTTTGTGTACATGGTAATACATAGTTTTTGCCCTGTTACTTTTTAAATTTTGCCATAATATATAATATATATTATATCTAGGTCTTAGGCTGTTGTTTATTTAGAACATTAATTTTAATTTTTAACAATTTTTGATTTTCTCTACTCTAAAAAACAAATACTATTTTTATAAGAGAAGTTTAATTTTTTAATTTATATTCATTTTTTAAAAATAATATTATTCAATATGGTAAATAACTTAGATTCATGTATGTTGACTCTTAAGTCTTAAGTAATAAAAACAAAAACAATCATACATAACCTTCAGTTCAGTACTAAACAAAATTTTTGGTTCGTTGTTGAACAAATTGTTCGGTTCAAGTTCGACATCATGTTGAATTGTTCGGTTTAACATGCTATTAAAAAGTTTAGTTTGAGATCATATGTTTTACTTTGACCCACCTCTAGTTCTTACTATTAAGTTTCATAATAGTTTGATTCACTCTAATCTTTAAACCAACAAAGCATACGTAAAGTTCTGAGCATAAATTTGGTATGTTATGCTCTTTTAAGACAGACTGAGAGAGGGAAAAAGGTATTTTTAATTAAGTTTTAAGAAAGAGATATAGAGAGTGATCTAAACAGTTTATTAATAAATGATGAAAGTCATATGAGCATCTGCTGTAGTTGGAGAGGGTAAAATAAACATTTAGTATGAACCAGTAAACACTATCTAACTTCTTATTATTTTTCAGATGTAGTTTTGTGTACTTCATGTCATCCAACAGCAAATATAATTGCTTCAGCAGCCTTAGAAAATGACAAGACAATAAAACTATGGAAAAGTGATACTTAAAGTTTAATTTAAAACTTGAATATTATTTTGTACAATTTGTATAAAGGGAATGGTTATATTCTCCTGCCTTTTTACTATAGTCTTATTTTCATTGTAATTAAATGTAAAATTACCAACAGTTAATAGTTAAACCATTATTTTTTCTTATTTTCTTGCTCAAAACTCAAATATTGTTTACAAAAAAAGAAATATAGAATGGTACATTCAAAAATAATTTTCACCATAGTAAAAGGTGTTCAAAAAATGTGTATTGTACAAAGTAATAATTATGACTGCTTTATCATAGGTAAGATACTAGAATTATAAACGTCATAGATAAGATATTAGAATTATAAATATTAAATGTATGAAATATTAATAGACTTATATTGTAGTATATTTTGACTTAAGTTTTTAAATTTCATTTCACTTTAAGTTTGTATGGACTGAGATAAATATTTATTCGCTATCAAAAATTTTAAAAATCAAAACTGTCAATGAATATATTCAATTATTAATTTAATCTTAAAATATACTAAATTTATTTATTGCAGTTGGTATATTTTATAGAAAATTTTCATTTACAAGTAAATTATTTTGTACTTTTATAAAATGTAAGGTATTTTTCCGGATTTTTTTACTGTGATTTTGAAACTTAAAATACATAATTCTATAAACAAAATAAATTTAACTCAAAATGGTATTTTATGTTCTTGAGTACCACTTATAATTATTTCTAACACTTGATTAAAATATGTTGAAAATCAAAAATTAGTTATTTTTATGAAATGTATAATATTATTTTACTGTTTATTAAAATAAAAATTCTTATAATTTTAACTAATATTGCAGTCATTAAAAAAAATGTATTTCAATAAAAAAAAAAAAATGAAAAAATTGTTCAACTGCCTAAACCAATCTAACCTAACCTAACCGAACCTAAAAGAACCGGAACCATTTTTTTAATGTATAAAATACATGTTACTGTAAAGCCACTAGGTGTCTCTAATGAGAGATTTCCTACCATGTTATCATTAGTTCATAGTTTTTCTTTCTTTTCACCATAATTATTACTTATTGTACACCCCTGTATAGATTGTAATATTTTCAAAAAAGTCGAGCGTGTAACAAGTACGCGGGGATGAAGTGAAACTTCTTTCAGTCATGCAACTGATATGAGGTATTGGAATAAAATAAAAAATATACACTTTACAATTTTATATTTAATAGAACTGTTTTTTTCTTATTATTATTTATTTTTAACTAATGATACAATGGGCTTATGATAGCTGAAATAAGTTATGTGCGTTTTTGATTGTACATTATTAAGATATCGTGTGAAAATAGCATCTATTGTGGTTCCTGACCGCGTTGTTGGAATTTTCGGATCCATTATTCATTGATAAATTGAGTTGTTCACGAAAAAATTGTGTTAATGGTTCTGATCTATCCGATGCAAAATTAACATTAAAGTCTCCACTCAGAATCATAGGCAGTTTATTTTCTCCCCTGCCGAGTAAATGAGTAATGGTGTACCTTTGGTAGAATAGGCAATCAACGATCTTTTTAAAAAATAAACTATATCATCTATTTTTTGATTTGGTGAGATATAAACTGCTACAATGATGATGATTGGTTCATTTTGTCTTAAACACTCAGCAACACAAAATTCACCGACTGGAGTAATTTTGGAATTATATAACTTTGATTGCCCTATTGTCATCTCAGTCAATGGAGTGACAATATTAACTATATCGTCGTTATTGTGATATATAGCTACTCCTCCAGATCTAACATTTGGCCGATTATATTTAATGATACAATTAAAATTAGGTATTATAGTATTCTCGTTTTCGTGTTGCCAGGTCTCAGAGAAAATTAATATTTTCGAATTTTGCAGAACTGAATCAAGAATGTCTGATGAATGAGCTCGGAGACTTTGACAATTTAAACTGTAAATTGACAATCCCGGTTCATTTTTAATAAAATTGTTTATTTGTCTGTCAATTGTGACTAAAGAGTGAGTTGAAAGTCTTGTAAATTCATCACGTAGGCGCCTCGTGGAATCTGATGTTTTCCTTCCATGATAAAACGTCAAATCTTCATCATTTTTAGTAATAATGAACAGCCCGTGAAGATCAGTAACTCGTGACAAGGCTAGGTACGTATAGCAACGATTGTGCGTGTCTTTTGTCGTATTCGTACACTACTTCAGCATACGTACTTTCTTGTGATTTATGAATAGTCGTTGCACAAGCACAGACTACAGGCATATGAGAACGCTTAACACAGATGGTTTTGCTTTGATTCAAATTTATAGTAGAAGATCTCCTAGAGATTGGAACTGCAGCTGTTCGGCTAATGTTATTTGCTGCCATATAACCAGTAACTTTTCTTCTAATATTGTTCCCTATATCAGGGCAATGAGGAAAATCGAGCCATACAACAGTCACTTCTTCAGCTTCATATCGTTCAAGATGGACTAGCTTTCCCGGCACCATTTGCCAAACCGTCGGACACGTCTATATTGGTTGTTATCAAATACTGGATATTTTTAACAAATATTGTTTCATCTGGTAAGCCACCTGTATCGATGAGTGACATTTTATGGACTTTTTGGCGCAAGAGAGCTTCCTGATTTTTTTTCATTTTGTCGATTTCGGTATTGTCGTGCACGTTCTGCATCAGATACTGGACTTGGTGAAAACGTTGATATAGCATCCGGGTTATTTTGTAATATATCTTCACGTTTCCGAATACGATACTGGCGTGCACGTTCTGCATCTGACATAGGTCCAGGTGACGACATTAATAAACCACTAACGCTATTTTGCGATTTTTTTTCCTTTTGTCGATTTCGATATTGTCGTGCACGTTCTGCATCAGATACTGGACTTGGTGAAAACGTTGATATAGCATCCGGGTTATTTTGTAATATATCTTCACGTTTCCGAATACGATACTGGCGTGCACGTTCTGCATCTGACATAGGTCCAGGTGACGACATTAATAAACCACTAACGCTATTTTGCGATTTTTTTTCCTTTTGTCGATTTCGATATTGTCGTGCACGTTCTGCATCAGATACTGGACTTGGTGAAAACGTTGATATAGCATCCGGGTTATTTTGTAATATATCTTCACGTTTCCGAATACGATACTGGCGTGCACGTTCTGCATCTGACATAGGTCCAGGTGACGACATTAATAAACCACTAACGCTATTTTGCGATTTTTTTTCCTTTTGTCGATTTCGGTATTGTCGTGCACGTTCTGCATCAGATACAGACAGATGAACTTCAGCTTGAACGACTACTCGGTTACTTTGACTAGGTTCTTTCGTAATGCATGTACCAGAAGCTTTGTCAGCAATGTTGCCAATTGAATCTGTAGTTTTAAATTTTTTTTTCGGTAACTTGATCTTAACACCATCTTTTGGCATGTTTGATTTAGCTAAGTTTTTAGCTAAGTTAATAAATATAAAAATAATTAATATTTTAATAATATAATAATATAATAGACTACCGGGTGTTAATAAATTACTATTACATTATATAAGCAGTTGCATTTTAATAGCACATTAAGCCGATATGGCTGACTAGTTAAATGTACAATATTTTTTTGTTTTAATAATTCACAAATATAATACCGATAAAACATACAGAAACAGAATTTATATATAAGTAGTTAATAATATAATAATTATGTAAAATGTAATAGTACTCACACAACGTAGAACGACAAACTGCTGGGAAGAGTTGAAGGCTACTAAAATAAAACAAACCACTGGCAAGGGTTGAGAACGTAATAGTCTATTGACCAAACTTTAAGTTAAATAAAATTACAATCTTTTTTGTTCTAATAATAATTCACAAATATAATACCGATAACATAGATAACATAGATAATATAGAAACACAGAATTTATATATTATATAAAAAAATCTAATTAAGATACATAGGTACTACAAAAATAATAAACTACGTTTCTATGTTACCGGTTAACCGATGCACAGCTGCCTGCTGGTCCGTGACGGCGGCTCGTGACGGCCGACCGTGCCCGAGTGAGCCCGACCGTTGTTTATTTTTTTTGGCTGCGACACGATTGAGCATAAAACACCTTTTTTGCGACACGATTGAGCATAAATTGTCGGCGTATCAAAGGAAATTGAAATACAAAAGAAAACCAACACGATTGAGCATAAAAAACTCTGCAACGTTGCCATTTTCAATTTTGAACTGTATCGTATAAAAACATTTATTTAAATAATTATAATATTTCAAAATATAACATGAAATATAACATAACAAAATATAACATTAATTTATACTTGTATAAATTAACTAGGGCCAATTCTTTGCCTCTTTCCGATAAAATAATTGTTATATCCATATTTAAAAAAAATAGAAAAACGCACTAAGTATACACGCACTATACACTATACAGGTGATCGAACACTGATATTATTTCTATAATAATTTTGGATTTGTATCTTAATTATCTTATATTTTCTCCCGATGCTAAATGTTTAAAACGTCGTTTTGCTCCGGAACTAATTTATTAATCGATAACATTGTCGATAAAATTGATAAAGTCGATAAAGCTCACGGCTCGCGTCAGATATCATAATAATTGGTGTAATAATACGAGAAAATAATAAATTACAAAATGTTGGCAACGTGAATGTGGCAACATCGCATAAAATAAACTATGCTCAATCGTGTTGCTAAAAAGGTCTATGCTCAATCGTTTTATGCTCAATCGTGCTTTACCGTTTTTTTTGTACCCTCTGTAAAGAAGTTTCACTTCAAAAAAGAAACATTGTTTTATTTTTGTATAGACGATAATTTTATTGTGTACTCAACAAAATAAATGTAGTTTTACAATAATATTTATTATAGTTTAAGTACATCAATCAAAAGTATTTTTTTTTATTTTTTTTATATCTTATTATTTTTTTTGGTTTTTTTACTTGATATATCTTATATTATTTTTGTATTTTTTCATGATTTTCAATATT